TATGTCTAGAACATGCACTATCAAGGTACCACATACTAGAATTTTGAGCTTTTAATGCAACATTAGCAACAAGGCATTTCTCTAGACCTGATAGTCTAAGTAAATCACCCTTTTTGACCCAAATCCTTTTAGGCGACAAGTTACTCTTAGTTAGCTTAGTAAGCATATCAGTCAGATGACTAACCTGATTAGACAGAAAGCTAACCTGACTAGGAATGTTTTGACTTCTACGCTCATTGCCTAACTTGTAACATCTAGGCCTAGTGTGTCCTAGAGCACCACAGTGGTGGCAGGTGGGAATAAACCTAGGCTCAAAAGTACGTGTCTGAGGGTACCTGGTCCTAATGTTCCTACGTGATTGATGACTTTGTTCCCTAGGAATGCTCTTACCCTTACTTGGACTCCGAACCGTATTAGGCTTAGTGGTAGCCACGAAGACAGTCTTAGATGGTCCAGCAATAGTTGTATTACCCTCAACATATCCTAGACCTCTCTTGTCTCCCACTGGCTTATTCATTCCCAATAGGTTATCTAATTTCTTAGTTCCACTAATGAATGTCTGAGATGGGCATTAGATTTTTCCAATTCACTAGTCAAACTCTTAACCTTGTCTTCCAATTTCTCATTGACACACTTCAACTCACTACCGCTCTTAAGTGACTCCTGAAGCTTACCACCTAGTTTCTCTTTTTCCCGTTCAAGTTCGTCAAGCTTTTTAAGTAGGGATTTATCGACCTTCTTTATTTTAAGACTTTCTTTAAACAGTTGTTGATATGCTTCTTGTAGGTCTATGTCATCCTCATCCTCATTTTCATTAACAGAATTATCATTTGATTGCTCTTCCTCAACCTTATCACTTTCCTTATCAGACTCACTCTTAACAGTAGCCACAAATGCCATATAATTTCCTTCAGTATCACTACTGGAGGATTCCTGCCTATCACTGGTCTCAGATTCATTATCAGTAAGTGAGACAACTAAGGCCTTACCTTTCCCTTTTCTTTGATTTTTCTTATAGCTCGGACATTCATTCCTATAGTGACCTATTCCTGGACACTCATGGCATCTAACCAAACGTGGCTTCTCACTAGACCCCTTATTGTTATCTTTCTCAATTTTATCTTTTGTGAATCTACTAGGGGCTTCATTCTTTCTATCCTGAGGCTTTCTCCTATTGTTGAGGACTTTTTGGAATTT